TATATTCTTTTTCATATACTCACATAGTCATATAATATAATATTTCATATGACCTCATATATCACATCGCTTATATACATATCCAAATATTCATAGATACATATCACTTAAATTATTCCTTTTTACATAATTTATGGTCATATAGTTCCTATCACAAGTCATTTATCTTATATCTTCTTCTCATATGTTCATATTTATCATACACATAAGTTTTATTACATATTTATATCTCATTCATATATCACTAATTCATAATATAATTTACATCGCATCATCTATCTTATTCTTTATTTCTTAGTATGCACTTATATTACACCTATATTATACTGATAAACATATATATTACTTCTATTATTTCTTTTATATACAAATTAATCAATTTACTTAATTCAATTTCATATAACTCCTATAATTTTCTCATATCACTCTATTCAAGTTTCCTAATTGATACATTATTCTCATTTCATTCTATAACTCAATCTTATTAGTTTCTTTCGTTTCTCGTGGATTCACTTTCATCATATTCTTTTATTTTTACATATTTTATTTCATAATCCTATACTCCCTTTATCATATGATTTATGTAGGTTCTCTTATAACTCTTCATAACATATATTTTCCATTCTATATATTACGTAGATCTTATCATATAACTTATTCTTTATACTTACATAAATTATAACACATACAAGAACATATCAGCTCATATAATCAATCATACATACATTTCATGTCATTCGCCTACTTATAATCAACACTTCATGCATAATAAAATAATTATCAGAAATAGACTTATCACAAGTCCAATTTCCTTATAATCCTATAAAATAAGATGCACTCACATGGGCCTCACTAAGTTAATACCGCTCTCTCATATTTCCCTTGATCGATCTTATTTTCCAAATGTTCCGGAACTGATTTATGCTCGGTATCTACACAAATATACAATTTAAGGCAATCTATCAAAATCTAACCTTATAACTTGATACTAATAGCTTAAACGACTTTAAGAAATCAACATTTCCATTTTCCTTTAGGGGGGTATCGATACCCTACTGGGGGTATCGATACCCTCATGACATTCTGGAATTCTGCCCGTTTGAGAGGGTATCGGTACCCCTTTGAATGGGTACCGATTCCCCCTAGCCCAGAAATCATTTTTGAGCTCGAAAATCCTCTTGATTCAATTCAAACGCTTCATCTTTCATCCCCTTTCATATTCCTAACTTACATATACATACTTAAACTCATTAATATTCATTTATCTCATCTTTAACCTCAAAATTCCATCTTTCTTATGGAAATCAATAATCATACTAAAGTTTCCATGTTATCTAAACTTAATTATAACACTTCTAACTTCTTATTCTTATAGATGACAAGTCAAATTCATCCTCCAAATTCGTTTAAACCTTCTTATTCAAAATTTCACTTAAAACCCCATATTCTTTAATCTCTTCTAACATCTTCATCTTTGAGTTTTTACTTATCTTTAGACTTCCTTAAGCTTTCTTACTTTCCAAAGAATCAAAACCAACTTAGAATTCAAATAATAATTAACTAATAAAAATTCTCACCTTAGCTCTTGCCTTCCATGCGTGAAGAAGAAAGAAGAAGAAGAAAACTCTGGAAACTCATTTCCCACATTTTATATCCCTTAAAAGAGAAATAAAAATCTTCTCTTAGAAAAGACCATAATACCCTTATTACTTTCAAACTTTACTATTAAATCCAACTTCAAAATTCTCCAATTAAAATTCTAAATTTTTTAACTTATTTCGAAATTGAACACAATACTTTCAAAATTCACCTTTAAGTCACTAGCCCGATATTGAGGATGTTACAGTTTTGATCATTAATTTAAAATTAATTTACGATAGATTTTAAGTTAAAATGTTATTCTGACTAAAAAAAATTATGTAAATAATAATAATTTCATTTATAATTGAGAATATCATATTGCGCACATATCTACTTTAGAAAGTTATAATTAATAATTTTAATTATAACTGAAATGTATTTAGTGATAATTTTTAAGTGGAAATGTACAAATATTTTATCCACAATAACAAAAGAAATGGATTATATAGTCAATAAGTGGTTAAACTTTGTACATATACTATAACATGTAAAGCGCACAACACCATGAAGAACTGGTTCTTAAGCTCAGACCTCATCCTTCAAAGGCTCTCCATCCACCGTCTCTTTCGCAGACGACGGCGAAGAGTCCGGATTCTTGAGTTCCTGTAACTTCCCCACCATGAAAACATCTCAGACAACTTGCAGTAAAGAACTTGATTCGGATCAAAATTAAACTGAAAATGGAAAACATTACGAAAGTCCGATGATCGGCACCAAACCGTCAACGCTCATTCGGACATATCAGTGTATGAAAAAAATCATATACGCAGAGTGCCTGAGAATGAAATGCATCATATAGTGCAAAATGCTACCTTTTCCAAATAAATCAAAACTATGTCCATAGTCCTTACCTCTTTGCATGTATGCTGATGCTTGGCCAAAAGCTCATTATACTTTGTCTGCAAATCTGATATCTCAGCTTGTAGTTTTTCATATTCAGATGCAGTTGGACCTCCTAATTTTTGTTGCACAAACCTATCATCATCATCATAATAATAATCCCATATGAACAAATGGTTCAAAACAAGAAATTTTCTAGGAATTGCAGATATTGAGATTCGAAATCCGACCCTAGATTCGAAGACGGATATAGGATTCAACGCTAGAGGATGAACTCGTAAATTTGTGAACTTATAAAATTTATCAATAAAAATTACAAAAAGAATATCTAAAATGGACAACTTTAAATTTTCCGTGTCTAGATCTGAATTATATAGCTTAAACAAAGAGAAACAGAAGTTCAATTTGGAAGATTGAATTGAGAAACTTACTCAAGGGCTGAGGAAGGCTTCTCATTCTGTTCATACAATGCAACCAAAACTGCAGGTAATGAAATGAATTAAAGAAAAGAAAACCCAGATCAAGCAATGAAGACTATATTTCAAAAACAAAGTAACAAAACCTTTGGTGAGAGCATCAAGAACACCACTGGACTCCAGATACTTTCTAAAAGCTTCCTTCTTTGCTTCTTTTTCCTAAATCCATAAACTGGGTAGTCAACATGTTATTAAAAAAAGAAGTAATTGTTAAACAACAAAGTGTAAGAATGTTGGTGGCAGATTGTACCTCTTTATATCGAATCATTGTCTTCTTCAATCGCTTCTTCTTCTTCTTCTTTCCCCAGGAATCCCCTTGTTCTTGCCTTGAAACTTTGGTCGATGGTCACCTTTTTGCAGTTTAAAGCTGAAAGAGTTAATTGTAATTCAGGAGATGTTTTTTTCTTTAAAATGAAAAGAAACACGATGGCCTGATCTGGTTCAAGTTCATGCCTGATTCAGTTGCCATTTGTGTCGGTTAAGGTTTCAAACCCAAGTCCAAATATCTACTGTATGTTCAAACCTGAGATTTTAGGCTCAGCCCATTTTCAGTTTACAAGAAGCGATTCACCCTTTTGGTAAAGGGTATTATGGTTATAGTTGTTTTCGGATTTTTGATGCAATTTATTTCATTAGTCTTTTATATATGGTTATTTGTATTTTTTTTTTTGATGCCTGGTTTTTTATACATCTGTATATAATATTCTATTGGCTTCCGAATATGTGAATAAGACCTTTAGATAAAAAATTTCACAAGTCTAAACAATCTATTGCTGCGAAATCTTAAGATTTGAATCTGACTATTAAATTCATTTAACTTGTCAGTCTACGAATAACTATAATGATAACTACTATAAATCCCTCAAACTATGAGTGAAAGGGGCTTCTCCTCCTTTTTCTTCTCCTTATTTATAATTTCCTCAACATTCTTCCTCTACAAAAAATCTAAAGACAATGTTTTTAACAGATTATGACTTTCAACTTAAATAAAAAAAAAATCGTGGACGGTCGATGAGTCGAACTTAACTTATTCTATCGACATGTTTTGAAAGTAAGTGATACATTGTCCGAATAAAGAACATGTACTAGGCATAGTGCATCATAATTGGATAATTTGGATTAATCGACCACCACTGTATTAGACGCAAGTGGGCATGCATCATCTATTCCGTGAAGCAAATTATGGAGTATTTAAGCTGTAAAGTAAAGCCCCGCCGCATACGACGGCCAGAATGCTGTTTCATAATCTCGGCAATGCAGCTTTTGGATGGAGGAATCAGGTTCTTTGGGATATAAGACGAGGACATGTAAACATCAAGTTGGAATATGGAATACTGTATGTTCCAACAATGGTAGTCGACCTCGATATAGAGCGAATATTACCTGAGAGATTAATAGGGCTGTAAATGAGACAAGATTAATCACGAGATACTCGAGTTTAATTCGGTCAAAGTTCGATCAACATTCAGATTGAATGGACTTGACTCGAGCTTGAACTTGAATTTGACTCGAGTTCTTAACAAGTCAAATGAATTACTTGATACCAGATACGAAAAGCTCGCGAGCAAAATGAAAAAATTAATATATTATTTTTTAAAATTTTAAATTAAATTATTAATAATATTAACATTTATATGTTATTTTTATTTATAAAAAATACAATATAAAATTTTCATATACTTAAGGTTCAGGTTTGAACTCGAGTGAACGGAGCTCGAGTTTATGTTTCAATCAAGTTAAGTATGAGAATGTATCGAGTTCAAGTTTTTTTGAGATCAAGTCGAGCTTCAATTTTTAATTTCGAGTTGAGCTTAAAATTGCGAACTTTCGAGTCGAGCTCAATTTTAGACTTTTCTAGTCAAGTCAAGTTAAACAATACTCGAGCTCAACTTAACTTGTTTACAGCTGTACAAAGGAGTCTGCTTCATTTACTTCAGCAGTGTTTTTCTTATCTGTTGTTCTTAACCATAAATAGCCCAATCCTTCACCCTCCGATTTCAACTCGGATCATTTATGCCACCTAGACTTACGCTTGTTAAGCAAATGGTAGGAAGGGATACTGAACCTTCTGTTAGGGAGATTCTGTACTCAAAGCTGGGCGAAGTTTCGACGGAGTCGAAGGTGAAGACAATGTCTTCGACGTCGTCGTTCATTTTCAGGGCACCTCGTGAGCTGCGTCCGGTAAATGAAGGAGCCTTCGAACAGCAGATCATCTCCATAGGACCGTACCACCACGGAAAAGATCATTTGAAGGCAATGGAAACGCACAAAGTTGGTTATTTAAGTAGCCTTCTCCAACGATGCTCTGGTGGCTTGGAAAACTACATCGTGGCCTATATGTCCATAGAACAAGAAGTTCGCAATTGCTATGCCGAACACGATGATTCCGCTATGAGCTCTGCAGAGTTCGGGGCGATTATGGTCGTCGACGGATTGTTTGTTGTTCAACTCATTAGCAAATTCATGGATCCTCAACTGAGAGAATCAAACGATTCCCTGTTCAAGCAGAATTTGAATCTATCTTTTGTGGCTCTAGATTTGTTACTGCTTGAAAATCAACTTCCTTTGTGTCTATTGGAAAAGTTCGCTGATATGACCGGGCTGGGCGGGGATACTTTTGCAAGAGAGGCTCTTAATTTCTTCTCAGTAACAGATTTACGATTACGTATGCTGTATAAAAAGAGAGATTGATGACTTTATCCGAAATACTGAGCATCTTCTCGGCTTGGTGCACGATAATTGGATCCAGTTTCGCTCAGGCTATCTGCAAACGTTTCATCTCATTACATTAGAGCAGGAGGATCAGAAGCATCCCGTCCCCGAGGAAAAACGTAGCCACCATACACGTTTAGGGTATGGAGAATGTGATTCCATAAGTTCAGCGACAGAGCTGTCAGAACGAGGAATCAAGTTCCGGCCAGGTGAGGAAAACTTATTGTTTTGACATCCAGTTCAAACATGGAACGCTGTATATTCCAACCTTGATAGTTGACCACGATACAGAGAGAATGATGCGGAACCTCATTGCTTACGAACAATTCAAAGATAAGTCAGGGAGCATCGTTATGGATTATGCTAGATTCATAGACTGCCTCATCAACTACCCCGCCGATGTTGCTTTGCTCTGCGACTGCAGGGTAATCGACAATCGGCTGGGTAGCAACGAAGATGTCGCCAGCATGATTAACAAGATCAACAATTATGTTTATCTATCCACCGGAAGATTCTATTAGTCCAACATATTCAACAAGGTGAACAAGCATTGCAGACAACGACAGAACCTATGGAAGGTGAAACTGAGGCAGACATATTTCAACACCCCCTGGGATTGGGTTCTCACTTCCATTGCTGCAGCCACTCTCCTGCTCGTACTTACCATTTTGCAAAGTATATTTTCGGTTCTTGCTTATTTCAAAAAAACTACAAGTTGATTGTTCTTCATGCTGTCGTGCTTTTATGTCGGGTTTGAATCATGCATGTACCGAAATAAAGGGTTCAAATTCATATATTTTATACCAAATACAACTCAGAGAATCATCCTTTTGTTTGTAACGACGACTCGAGATGAATGAACCAGCCATGTTGAATCCACCAAGAAAGGAAGCATTTCTGCTTAGCATGGATTGTAGTTGTCAAAAAGAAAAAACATACCAAAGCTAGCAAATACAGTCCTTTTGTTGGAAAGTGTAATAAGAGAAATCACTGAACCAGCCATGTCGAAATCACCAACAAAGGAATCATTGCTACCAAGCCATAGTTCACCAATGTATCCACATTTTCTCCCTTTCGAAACTTGTTCCAGAAAGTACTCCATGGACATTTTGAAGCACCTTCTTCACCCTGCAATAGTTGCTTGTTTCCCTGCCGTAAGGTACAAGTTACATAGAGATTAAAGCAAGTAGATAATTGCACAAGGGAAGGGTGGAAACAATCACCTCAGGGATTATGTTGTGAGTTTCTTCTTGATCATTTACTTTCATCGGCATTCTTTTCTCGATGTGGTGCACTGACTGATCCAAAGATGTTTGGGCTTCAAACCTGCCAGAATTTATCCTTGAAAGGGCTTTGTAGGCTGCATCGGTATGTATCGTTTCCATCACCGACCCAAAGAAGTTTGTTACAGGTACCTAGAGAGAAATCAACTTGGTTATACAATGGTTAGATGTTTGGTATTATGCATAGCAGTTCATCATAATAACATTGAAAACAGTACCAACAATAATAAAGGCAGTAAAAGATACAGATTTGATAGGAGGAAGTTTGAAATTTTGCACTCCTCATGGTGCAACGCTAGATTTGCCAACCCGAGCATTTAGCTGATAATGAGAAGCTCATTAACAGTTACAGGCACTTAGCCTTAAAGCATCACAAAAATATTAGAGAAGTACAGAGAACAATCATTGAAAGCCGTATAGAGGAAAGAATATTAGAAACAGATTTGGGACCTCAATACCTCCTCCAAATTCCGTTTGTATAGATCTTTGCGGTAGTAGGCAGTAGACATCAACAAACTTGGATTGTAAGAACTAAAAGACTGCAAATAACCAGAAAATCAGAGTTCACTTTTTAGAGATGAAAATGCTTCAAGGAAGCGGTAAAAATGTCAAAAGATATGCCAACTTAAATGGATGAGAATTAAAAACTTCAATCAGTTTTTTTTTTTTTAAATAATCTGACAAGAAAAGCTCATTAACGATTTTAAGACACTTCAGTGCAAGAACAAATATGGCTACACTATTATTATTATAAAGCTGATGTACCTGCTCAATGAGGCATTGTCGTATATATTTAGCCTCTCAAAGAAAGCAAGGGTATAATAGGTGAAGCGATCAACAACAGATACACCAACCTGCGCTAAATGAAGAATTGAATAAGAACAATAACAAGTTTGTGTAACCAGGAAGCCAACCTACCAAAACCCTATACCACTTGGGTAATATATTCATAAATACATGGCATTTTCCCTCCTTCTGGGACAGCAATTTAAAGAGTGCTAAAATGATAAAACAATTTCCTTTAATCACTTACATCAGAATCCAAGTGATGTGAGTACGAGTTCTCTCCTTTCATGCTACTTCCGATAGCCAAAACACCAGGGGACTGAAGCTGCAAAATAGAGAGCAAAGATCATCAATTTTTCATCAGATCAGCTATCAGATAAAGCACATTATATTGCCTACAAACATAGAAGTTTCAAAATGTCTCATCTGTAAGTAAACAAAAATAGTTCAGAATTGCACCAAAACAAGAATATCAGTGAAAACTGATGAAACAACTGAAGAGGAATGCTTCCCGAGCAATAATTTGAATAGATTAGACAGACTGCTCACAAATTTTCGAAAGATGTAAAAAGAGGCAGATGTATGAGAAATGTGTTGATCGGGAGAAGGGTTATAATGTGATTCCATGGTGCAAAATGACAGTAATGAATCCACACCAATAACATATCAATATTAAATAGTGCAATGAATCTATTTAGAGTTAGAAGAAAATTGAAACTTTTGCCATATATACGCATTTTGTACATAAACAGATGATTGAAGAGCAACATTCCTATGAGAAATGAATGCATTTATGGCTAAAAACTGAATAATGTAATATTTGGAGAAGTAAAGCTCTATTTTGGTGCAGATGAAACCTGATTGAAGAGAGTGGCTGCTTGACAAGTGTCCACCATTATCAACAACTCCTTAAATCTGAATTTGCAGCATCATCAACCACACGAGTCCATTTTTATATAGAAGTTACAACTATAGACCATCAGCAAGGTGCATATAAAGCGAAACATGAAACAAGCCCAGACACAGTTTCGAGTCCATGACACCAACAGTAACTGAAAAAAGATAGTCCTCACAAGAAAAGGCAAATTCTGCTAGTTATCTACCCTATACTTCAAAATTCTATGTTATGTGAGATTTTTCCAAGAACTACAAGGAAATTGGGACAGGTATATTTCTTCATGATCTGTGCTTTTCTTTCATTTGTTTCACAGCATCAGCTAAATCATTTTTTTTTATAATAAGGAAGGCCTCATTAAAAACCCCTTTCATATCCGTCAAGCAACAAAGACTTAACGAACATTGGAAGGAGGAAAAGAGTGCCTTGGAAATTTTATTGCATAAGACCCAGGTACAATTTTCTAACCTGTGCTTTTCTTTCATCTGCTTCACAGCATCAGCTAAATCATGACTCTGTAGTTCCTCTGAGTCTTGAAACTTTAAAAATTCATCTCCTCCATGCCCAGTCATATAAAGAAGAATGTGACTCCCTTCATCACTCAAGAGTCGCTTTGATCTTGGAACAGCAGTCTCATGACGTCCAGTTAAAACACGCAAAAAGTTTTCCACTGTTACTTCATAACCTCGATAATCTACCTGAGTGATGGCAATTTGGATAAATTAGGGTTGATCAAAAGAACAGAAAAATAACTAAAAGAACACTTCAAGCACAATATGCAACAATACAAAGAATGGAAACCTAAGATAATCAAAGTCTGGTACCATGCATGTCAACATTAGGCTAGACCAAACTACTATCCCCGATGAACCCCCGCCTCCCCACCCCACATATGCATGCACAAATAAAGCCCAATTAATAATTGGTTAGAAAGATCTAACCTCAACATTATCTCCATAAAGGTTAAGTCTATGGTTCTCGTTGTTGAAAACTTGAGCAGGATACTTGTTTCTAGTGTTGCAGGCCATGTCATCTGCAAGCATGAGTATTATCCTCTCATCAGGTATTCCTAGCCGCTTAACTGTCCTGAAAATCCATGTCAAGGAAAAATTTAACCAAAAAAGTTTGAATTATAGCAGGAAAGAAAAATAAACAACTGATTGGTTACCTGTACAAGGATAAGGTGTTGGCCATATGACGATAGTTAAACCTGAACGAGAAACAATCACAAAAATTAATTCAACCAACAATTTTAGGACAAACAAAAAAGGAGAAAAGGGAAATTGACCAAAATTAGCAAAATTAACACTTCTATGCTTTAGCTGACCAAGTGCAATGAGAAAAGGGAAATTGACCAAAATTTGCAAAATTAACACTTTTATGCTTTAGCTGACCAAGTGCAATGAGAAAAGGGAAATTAACCTTCTCTGTTATAACAAAAAAGAGAGCAAGGGAACAATAAATTTTATACAGGAGCAAGACCAGACCACTGCCATTACCACATATGGAACTTGCATTTGCATTTCTATTGATGAACCAGAAGCAGAAAAGCATTCACCAAAATCTACATTAACCCTCAAACATTTTGGAAATCATCATATGGGGAATACCTCCCCAGCACAAACAAAAAGGAGAAAGCTGCTAGACAATAACAATGGAAAGCTGCTATTACCACTAGTTTGAGGGGTGAATCTGAGTAATAAAACAGAGGCACAGAGTTCAAACGCTCAAATGAATTACATATCAAAATAGCATCTAAGAGAGCACCTATATTCTCTCAAATTCAGATTTGGTTCAAATAAATGTAGCTAGAAATCCAATCAATACAAAAAAAATTGGGGGGGGGGGAATGGGTTATCTTAATTATCCCAAAAAAAACATGGATATATTTCATTTGATCCTAAAATTCAATGAAATGAAAGAAATCAGGGAAATATAGAACAAAGTATACAAAGTGAGGTTTTTATTACCAGAAACGGGAGGTGCAAACTAAAACTGCCCAGTTGTTAGTATGCATAGCAGCTTCAACAGAAGAGGAATTGAATGCAATCAAACTGTAGAGAAGCAAACATGGTAATAAAAGAAAAAGCAAAATTGGTTTGGAATTATTGAAAGTTTCCATCTTGAATTCCAGCGGGTTTTCTTTTCCAGTGCAGTAATTATATGATAAAATCTAATCTCAGAAATCTGCAGCAAAGCTTGAACCAGCAGCGCCAGAGAAGAAAAGCAAAACGACGCCGTTACCTGGTTGGATTATAAGCCCTTTTTGGAAATTTTAATCGCACTAAACTTTTTTGAGTAAAATACGTATTTAGTCATCCAACTATAACTTTGATTCTATTTTGGTCAGTCCACTCACTCCATTAAAAAATTAACAAAAATGTTAATGTGATTTTTTTTATTTTTTTATTAATGATGTGATATTATCTTATAGTGACAAATCAACATCACTATTAATTTTTTAAAGGTAGGTAACCAAAATGAAACAAAAACATAACATTAGTGATGATTTAAAAAAATAATTAAGTGACCAAACAAAACCAAAGTAATAGTTAAGTGACTAAATACGTAACATTTTTTTAACTCAATTTTGTTAAAAATGGACAAAATTTGAGTTAATTTCACCATAAGTCCTCAAAGTATGATCTTATTATAAATTGGTTCTTAAACTTTTGAAAATTTTAATTTCATCTATAAATTTTGTCTCTCATTCAAAATTAGTCCATAAACTTTTGAATGTTTTAATCTTATCCCAAACTATGTCTCTTATTCAAAAT